AATTCTATGATCTTTTGACTTTCGAATCAATGGTCATTTCAGAAATAATGTATTACAACATTTTCCCTATGATAAAATAATATTTTAGTAACTTTAAGAAATGCAAACGATAATAAAAATCGTTTTAAGATCCTAATTTTTCCCACTTTTACCCAACCGCATTTCAGAATTCATTTTCCTACATTAGAATATTGATAATCCCATAATGTTTTGTTCAGCAAGAATCGTCTGAAAGGAATGTTCGAAACACATTCTTAGCGTCATTAATCGTCAATTTCAGCTAAATGAGAACGAAGATTTTCTCGGGTGCTTCTTCCGTGTTCTCTTAATTAATTTAACGCCGTCTTAGAACGTCATAAGAGAAAGACGTTCAAATTATGGTTGCTTTTCTAAATCTTTTCGGCAATTATCTTAAATTACTGCTACCGATTCTGATTTCACTTTCGAAGATTTAAGATCTTGGGAAAAATCTCTGCTTGTTCTGAGGGTGGGAGCGGAATTTTGGTGGTTTCGGGGGTGAGAAAGACTGCAATTCCAGTTTAATTTATATTTATATTCTTTCAATTGGATGATATATTTTTTTAGATTTCTTTTTATCGTAGAGTTTTTTTTTAGGAAATGCTATTAAGTTGGTGTCTGGAATTTAAGATTAATACTTAGCGAGGCTGACAAAAGAAAGAAAAGTAATGAAATAATGAAACATGCAACGCCAATATCCAAAAACGTGAGATGAAAAATATTGTCAGTGAACTTGTCTGTGAACAGCCGAGTGGTCTGAATTTAAAATGGTCAGAATTAAAAGTGATTTAATCAAAAATGTGATTTAGTTTAAGTTAAATATTCAATCTGGTGCATTGGAAGTTTTGAATATTATAATATGTTAGATAAAGATTTTGATTTTTGAAATTTGTAATCAATATTTTGAAATGTTTATTTTAAAAGTGGTTTTCTTTAATGAATATTGTTTACATGGTTTAAATTCTTTTTTAAAAAAATCAGAAATATTAAAGAAAAAACTTTTTGTTAGTAGAGAAGTTATTTGGCTTAAAACAAACGTTGTTTTAAATTTTTACCTTCTCACCAGTCCGGGTTACATACTTATTGCTGTGGTTCATTTTACTTACAGGCATCAATGAAATCTGTTAGGGGAAAAAAAACTATTTTACAACAACAAAATTAAAATACTGCTTATATTTTATAAGCTACTATCCAGTACTGCTTACGAATATGAAATTAGAAATAAAAAGCCGCATATTGACCAAAAGAAATTTTTTTACTGAAATTTTAAGTTGATAATGTAATAAGTTCTTATTTAAATATTTTTATTCTATTTATTATGTTTATGGAGGCAATATGATTTAATATTTCCTTATTACTTAGAATTAGCCTGGTATAATCTTGTCTAACTGAATTTTTTTGAAATTTAAACTTCTCATTTCCTTAAAATAATTTTAGCACGTACCATTGTCTGTTTTTTCTTCAAAATATTTTCTTATAAATTACGTATTTATTGTAATTTAAAAAAAAAAACATCTTTCCACCTGCCCAGGGATGGAAAAGACACATTTCTTACTATTTTAATTGATTTATAATTTTATTATTATTATTTTGATATTCCAAAGCGTAAAATCTTTCTTGCTATTATTCTGAGACTTGGGGGGGGGGATTGTAATTTTGTAAAAAGAAAATTGTACGAAATACTTTTGTAAAAGTAATCCAATTTATACTATTATACTAATAGGTATTGGGTCAAGTAAAGCATTCTCGCAACTGCCCGTTGTGGGCCATGGGATTCATAGGGGTTAGAGCTCCACAATTTTTGATCAACGGCATTTCGTGATAATGTAGTCAATACTGTGCACTGACCACCTGTACTTCCCAGACAAGCTGCTACCTATCGATCTAAAGCTGAGTGAGCTTCAAGCAGCCACTGGGAATCGAACTCCAGTTTTTCTTACTGATTGTTCAGTGCCTTAAACACTGAACCATTCCGGCTCCAGTCAACGCTTAATACCATCAATATATTTTAACGGAGAAACCTATATAATTTATATATATTTAATTCATAAATTTATATATTTTATACGGAACTTACACGGAGAAAAAAAAATTCTGGTGAAAATACCATACTATAATAGTAATAACAATTTTGGTTTTTCAAAAAACAAAAAAAACAAAAAAAAACATAATTCTGGTAATAAAAACCAAAGTATGCACTATTTAAATCATTCATTTAGTAAATTTTCCCGTCATATATTATTGAAATTCTGGTTTTCGAAATTATAGTTCTTATTAGTAAAAAATACAATACTGAAAAACAAATTTAACCGAATAGATGGTTTTTATTCCATCCTCTGATAAAATTACCAAAATTTATCACATTTGCCAAATTTTATGACATGTTATAAAACCATATTTTATTGTTAATTTTATCAAAATCATTACCAAAGCATAACCAAACTTTTCGGTGTTCCCAAAGAGCCAGAAACACATTGAAATTTTTCCATATTTCGGTAGTTTAATGTTATAAATACAAAAAAACAGGAAAATGATGAAAAATTAAATGAATTACCTCATAAGTTTAGTTATTGTTTTAATGATTTTATTTATAATAAAATGAATATACAGTTAGAAAAAGTAATTAATAAATAATTAATAAAATTTATTCAATTATCCGGAATTCTCCTGCCCCCACGGATCTCAATTCAATAACACTGCAATAGTTCAGTTGCCTAGCATAAAATGCAAAAGATAAGAATGCAAATTAATTTTTTATCAAAATGAATCTGCTGCAAATTTTTGGTTAAATAATTATATCAAATTTATTTTTTGTTTAGTGGCAAGTTTTCAAAATATTTAATTATCTTCCTTTTTTTTCTTCTTATTTTATCTTTATTTTTGTGGTAGTCGAATAAATAGTTTTACTGCACAATGGTTTTTTTTTTTTTTTTTTTGCTCAAAAATTAGCTTAGTAGGCAAATAATTTGGTATCAAAATGAAACTGATCTAAATCAACGTACAAATAATTACATCCATATAATTTTGTTTTATTTCTCTTTATAGATTTCAAAATATAATTTTTTTTACCTTACCCCTAATTCCGTGGTTTTCGGAAAGTGCATGCTATACTGTAAAATAAAATTTTTTTATTATTATTTTTATTATTATTTTTTATTATTATTATTCTTTATTTATTATTTATTATTATTATTTTATATTATTTTTTTATTACTTTATTTTTTATTATTTTATATCAAAGGGAAACTGATTCAATCTAAAATCCCCCCAAAAAATCCATAATGCCATACATTTTTTGCTGTAAGGAAAGATTTTAAAATATTGCTCTTCACCCTACCCCTAATTCTACAGTATTCGGATATTTAGGGTATATGATTAGGGCAGTATGATTTTAGTGAGAAACAAGTTTTTTAGTGTGCAAATTATTTCATATCAAAATGAAACTGATTCAATCTAACGTACGAATAATTATCATCCATACATTTTTTTTTAAGAATATTTTTTAGGTTATTCTCACATTTCTCTTCTACTTGGGTGGATATTAATTGTTGCTATTATATTGCGTTTGTGCGTGAAATATTTACTATAATTGTAAATTAATTTATATTAAAAAGAATCTAATCCCTACTAATGTAGAAATAATTACTGCAAATTTATTTTTTGTTACATAGCAAGTTTTTAAAGCATTTTTATCATTTTAGTGTCACATAGGGTCAAACATATCGTTCTATATTCGAGAACATATTATAATAATTTTTTTATGTGTGTGTAAATTGTGTGCATTTCTTTTCTATGTGTGTAATTTACTTAATGTAATTCATTTTCAATCAAAATGAATCTGACCCAAGTTAACGTACAAAATGCGTTTATATATTTCGTTATGCGAAATTTTTTTAAATATTGTTATTTTATTGCCTCGTTTATTCTCTTCATAATATTTATAAATTCAATCATTGACATGTATTCGGGTATATACTGTCCAATAAATGCATAAAATATCTGTCATAAATGCAAACTAATTTAAACGTTTAGTAGTAATTATTATTATTAATCCGATACAAACTAATCGTGAATATATTTTTTGTGGAGATATGCAGGATACACTAAGCACGGGAATACATAATCAGACATATGCGGCATAATAAGCACTGCTTAATAATCTGTCCCAAATAAATCAGTTATATTCTGTATACAGGTATGTACTGGATATACTGAATATATGGATATATTATCAATAATGTACTGTGTAATTATCTAATCTAAATTAATTTGGATATACTGTATACGTGGATGTACGAATTGGAAAAAAGTATGGCAAAAATTACCAGAATAGGGTAACATTTACCGTGCTTCTGGCTCCATGGGAATGCTAGAAAGCTCTGTAGTTTTTACCGAAGTGCTTTGGTAATGATTTTGGTAACATTAACAATAAAATATGGTTTTATAGTAAGCAAAAAAATTTGGTAAAATTGGTAATTTTATCACCAGAAAACATCTAAATTTAATAAAGTAAAAATGGTTAGAGCATAAAAGTAAGGATGCTTAGAGTATAGCATAAAAACCATTTATTCGTTTAAATTTTTTTTTTCAGTTTTGAATTTTTTACCAACTGTGTGGTAATATAAACTATAATTTTGAAAGCAAGAATTTTACGGTAAATTGGTACCATATGAATAGAAAAGGGATCAAACGAATGGTTTAATTACCGTATATGTTGGTTTTTATTACAGTTTTTTTTTTTACCAAAAAATTCGTTTTTCTCTGTATCTATAATAAAATCTAAACTAATCTGGGATATACTCTGTATGTACTGAATATGGGGATATATAAGCAGGGATATACTGTATAATAAACTTATCTGTTATGAGTTCGAATTACTTTTTACTTTTTGTGCTAATTATTATTATAAATCTGATCCAAACTAAAGTACCCATATATTTTGTTCACATGGCAAGTTTTAAAAATAATAATTGTTATTTCAGGCTGTTCTCATCCAAAAGATGCTGTTCCCGATGTCAACAAGGTATCCATGCTCAAGAATTGGTGATGCGGGCGCGGGATCTCGTCTTCCACATCCATTGTTTTACATGTGCCTGGTGCAATACCGCTCTCACACAAGGTGATTACTTCGGTCTACGGGACAACCTCGTCTACTGCCGAACACACTACGAGATGTTTTCCCGCGACGACACCTCCTACTACAGCCCTGATCATCATCCGTCATCCCTCCTTCATCCTCCGCATCATCTACTCACTCCTCCCGGTCTACCTTCTGACTGCGGCGGAATACCAACGCCGGATTCAACTCCCGGATTCTATGGTCCCTACACTGCCGGATGTGTAAATAACTCAGACGGAGTACCGGCGTCCGGCCGGAAAGGGAGACCGAGGAAGAAAAAGAATGGGGATCTATCCGGATCAGATCCACTATCCAGGCACAATACAGGTAGTTTATTGAGTTTCAAGATTCTTATTTTTGTTTTATTTGAGAATGAATATATATATATATACTCCTTACACGTAAACTGATACAACGTATGAATATTTATGGTGTATTTAACCCTTTGACAAATAATTTTAATTAAACATATTTTTCATACTTTTTTTTCATTATTTAGTATTAATTTAGGTCAAAATAAGGGGGAAATATTATATTTAGTATTTTAATAATTTATGGTTATGAAATACAGCATGAAACACCGGTGCCTTTTTCTACGTAGAAGGTAAAATCTTCCAAATACTCACTTTCAAACAAAAATTATTCAAATTTGGCACTTATTTGATTTTAATTAAAACATATTTTTCATACTTTATTTTAACTGTTTTGTATTAACTTAGGTCAAAATAAGTAAAAAATATTATGTTTAGCATTTTAATAATTTATAGTTATGAAATATAACTTGAAACAAAACACCGATGCCTTTTTTCTACGTTGAAGGTAAAATCTTCCAAATGCGTCTCACTTTCAAACAATAATTATTCAAATTTGACACTTATTTGATTTTAATTAAACATATTTTTCATACTTTTTTTCATTATTTTGTATTAATTTAGGTCAAAATAAAAGAAAAACATTATATTTAGTATTTTAATAATTCATGGTTATGAAATACATCATGAATCACCGGTACCTTTTTCTACGTTGAAGGTAAAATCTTCCAAATACGTCTCACTTTCAAACAATAATTGCTCAAATTTGGCACTTATTTGATTTTAATTGAACGTATTTTTCATGCTTTTTTTTTTAACTATTTTGTATTAATTTAGGTCAAAATAAGGGGAAAATATTATATTTAGTATTTTAATAATTTATAGTTATGAAATACAGCATGAAACAAAGCACCGATGCCTTTTTCTACGTTGAAGGTAAAATCTTCCAATTACGTCTCACTTTCAAACAATAATTATTCAAATTTGGCACTTATTTGATTTTAATTAAACATATTTTTCATACTTTATTTTAACTGTTTTGTATTAATTTAGGTCAAAATAAGTAAAAAATATTACATTTAGTATTTTTATAATTTATAGTTATGAAATACAGCATGAAACAAAGCACCGATGCCTTTTTCTACGTTGAAGGTAAAATCTTTTAAATGCGTCTCACTTTCAAACAATAATTGTTCAAATTTGGCACTTATTTGCAGTTAATTAGATTTAAGAGAAGCAGTTATTCATCATTATAGTTTCTTTAATTTATAGAATCAATTATTAATAAGTTTTTAAGTATGAATTAGAAACAATTTAAACAACTTTTTTTTTTTTTTTTTTTGATTTCGTATTTTAGTACAAATATAATTTCGACAATCTAACAGATTTTTTTTTAGTTACTATTAGAATATTTTTTGTAATTGAAAAATACCAAAATATATTTTTGCATGTAATTCGAGCTCTAGAAAAAAAACATATAAAACTGACATCCGTGTCCCATTTGCATCAAAGGATTAAGAAAATTTAAGAAGCTTTTGTATTTACAAAGATTTTTTTTAAATTAAATTTTATAAATTCTGAAATTTAACTATTTAAAAGACGGTGAGATAAAAATCATCCCACTTGCTTTGGACAACTACGCAAACCTGTAAAATGATTATAGTTTTTACATCTTAAACTATATGATTTTAAATCCTTCACTTGAAATTTTAAAAAAAAAATCAATAAAGGTAAAACGTATCGCTTTATTTTAAATGCGCATACGATGACCACAATTCTTGTAACTCTGTTAAACAAAATCATGATTTAAAATTTACTTCGCTAAGACAGCTTACTTCATTAAGCCCTCTTAAAGATTTAAGAGTAAGAGTTTAGGAGTTAGTAAAACAGAAAGAGTTTTTAAAGTCCTCTTACTTCATTTCCAAATTCAATCGTCAAAGAGATGGAAGAGTAAAATTTAAACATGCTTTTACTCAATATTTAATTTTCACAAATATATTGATAAGAGCCGCGATGGCTCAGGGGATAGAGCATTCGCCGTGAGGGGAATCGGGTTCGAATCCCGGCGATGGCTGGTCGATACGAATTCCGCATCCGGCTTACACCGACCACAGTGTTGACTTGAAATATCCTCAGTGGTAGACGGATCATGAGAGTCCCCTTTTCGTCAGGCTGATCATGGGAGGTTCTAGTGGTCTTCCTTCCCATGTAACGCAAATGCGGGTTCGTTTCATTAAAAAGTCCTCAACGATGGCAAATTTCTCCTAATACTTGATCCAGGAGCTCCCTTGTCTTCTGGAAAGGATTCAAAATTACAACGTACGTAGTTGAACATTAGTTGTCGTAAACCCAAAAATTGGGTCGGGTGTTTAACGACGGTTATAAAACATAAAATAAATTGATAACTATTATTATTTACTCAAATTATCAGTACACTTTAAAACACGTGAAGAACTAGTCGTCACATAGTTAGAATAATAGAAATATATCGTATTTTAACTAAGAACTTGAACAAATGTTTTTTCATTTCACATTTTGGCGACAAAAAGCACCATTAGAAATTTTGAAAATTGCTGAAAAACAATAGTGTTCAAATCAGGGTTGGTAAGGTTTAGAACAGAATGGATTAATCCACGGTTTAAACCCTGGTTTAAACCGTCCTGTCCAAAACCCCTTTGTCCAAACCTGTCTTAAACTGCCCAAAACCCTTTTACTCAAATTTTGTCACAATTTTATCTGAACAATATTTAAGAGGCAAAATAAACATAGAACTAATAACATATTGATAATTAAATCTACTACAGAATATTTGTTTTTAAAAGTATAATGTTTTATTAATATTGTTTGACTCTTCAATTTAAACATTAAACAAAGGAAGATTAGTCAGTAATCAAGTTCAATTGTTCCTCTCATTCAATAGTACATAACTAAAGTTTGACATTGCCATACAGGTTAAGCTATTAGGGACTAAGTGCTTGGTTAGTCATAAACAGGTTTATTTACCTATAGGTTTATTCAAGAATACTGTTATTTCATTCATGCTCAATTCTTTTAGCATAGTGGTGATACATTATCAGTGTCAGTAACTGAAACTGATGTTATGCCCTTCAAAACTGTTAATACATTTTTCAGTTATTTTGTATTTTCAATTTAAACTAATATATTTATATTTAAAAACAATTTTTTTAAAAAAATATGTCTTTTTTATCATGCAGAAATTATAAAAAATTTTTAAAAAAATATTGTGAAAAATAAAAGGTTAATTTTTAAACAAATTTAGTACATTTTTAAAAAAAAATTATTATTTTTTAATATTGCATTATTTATTCTTATGCAAAAATATTATTTATCAGTATTAAAAGCATATTTATATTTAAAGGATTAGGTATTCACTTTTGTTATTCAATGAATTATGGAGGTTCAAAAATTAAAAACCTTTTCCTATTATATTATCTTCTTTTGATAAGTTAAAGTAAATTGTGTAAGAAATATCAGATATTTATTGATACACGTAATTATTATGTGTACAATGGTTACAACTATAGAATTTTTACCTTTTACCAAAGTTCAAGGTTTTGGACAGTTTTACCCAGTTTAAGACAGCAAAACCCACATGTCCTGTCCAAAACCCCAACCCTGGTTCAAATTTACTACACCCTTAGTACCCATAAATTGAACCATCCTGAATCTCCGAGTTGAATTATCCTAACAGCATTACTACACTTCCTGAACTTAATTACACGATATTCAGTTTCACTTTACTAGGAATATGGTTCAATTTAACATGTTATTAAGATTTTGCATCATATTATGGTTCTAAGTAACCGATGCTATAGAACAATGTATAGAAGACTTTTCTTGGAGAGAGAAATAATCTTAAAAAGAAAACAACTTAACGATTTTTCTTTAGAAAAAATTGAGTAAATATACATCAGTTCAGACAGCATTCAACCATGGTTGCAGCAACAAATTTAAATGATAATGCGTAACTTGTAATCGATTTCCCTGATGGTGGAAAATTTTAAAGCATTAAAAAAAAAACGGTATTGTAGCGCTAACAAAAACAATTTTTACATTTTAAACAGTATTTGAAAAAAAAAACTCATTAAAAAACATTGAAAAATACAGATGGTGTTTTGCTTCAAACCGGAAGTACAAGAAATCAAATCAATGGAGCAAGAAAACCGTTTTTTTTTCCCTATTTTCTAAGCTGGTGGAACTGAAATTCGAAATTGACGTAGATGAACTCAATGTTTATAGTCCAATACGTTCCACAAAATTCAAAGTTTTTTTTTTATTTTTAAAATATAATAATACATTGGTTTTCTTCGTGCTTTAAATTAAGTTATCTTAAGTTAATTTTACAAAAGCGTGCAGTACCGTAACATAACAATGTATCTCTTTTAAATTCTTTGCCTGATTTAGTTTAAAAATAAGTGTTTGATTTACGCTTAATGGGTGTTTTTTGTTCTTAAAGGTATTTTTCGAAGAGAAAAAATTTTACAAATTGAGAACCTTTTTCTTAAAAATAACGTTTTTTTTTCTGTACTAGCCGAATACCCATTCTTCTTACAGGGTAAAATGAAAGTAAATAATAAGTAAATCGACATTAACCCTTTGATGCATAATATTTATTAAACATGTTTTTCATACTTTTTTCATTAATTTATGTGAAAATAAGTGAAAAATAATATATATTATGATTCTAATATGTGAACGCATGAATATATTTTATTGAATTGGCGCATAATTTTTATTAAACATATTTTTCATACTTTCATATAACATATTTTTCATACTTTTTTCATTCAATTACTATCGATTCTAAATTATTTAGTTTCTTAAAAAACACCTCTCAAAATCATAACTATAAAGAATATAACACGTGGCTTCATATAAATTATTAGTTCAGTGACGTCATTCAACGTTAATTTTACTTGCGCTTGCGTAGAATAATCAATTAAAAGTAAATGATTATTGAAGAAAGTAAATAAATTTTCATTTTTGGCTAAACAGAGCTGTAAGCTGGTGAACATTACTGTTATCATCTTTTAAATTTTAAAAGAATTATATTTAACTTTAGAAATTGCTAATTTGGTGACAAGTTTTCATTATAAAAAAAATCATAAAAGGCGATGGATAATTCCTTATTCTTGTTTATTTTTATAAACCTAAACAATCCAGAAAGGAAGTTCAATATTAAAAAAATATAGATCACAAATGGTTTTAACTTTCAAGACTTTCTTTCATGTGTTTTGCGCCATTTTCATAACTACCATTAAAAACTAGTTAGGCAGCCTAACAAGCTAGCCTACCAGTCATGAATAATTGCATATTATTACCTAAAAAGCGCTATTTTCACTAACGAGCTTCTTTAAATAGCTTCTAAAGATAGAATTTCATTCTATAGAACAATTTGTAGATGGTATAGATCATTCTCAGAAAATGCTGATTTGCAGAATTGCTATAATATTGTCATAATAATCCGTTAAAATTCTGGAAAAACTCCTTCTATTATTCCTTCTCTCTGATCAAGCCTAAGTTGTTATACGTTTAAAATGATTCTGAAAAGAATAAATATCAATTTATTCAAGAACATTATGTATAATAAGTATCTTGTGTTATACATAACATTATTCTTGTTGCATAAAATTAAAACACTCATTTAACGGTTGAGTTCAACCCCAAAAGAAGAGGCCTGAAAATGCAACCCTAAAATTAATAGAATCATCGATGATTACTTAAATATTTCCTTTATCGAAAGTTGTATTAAAAAAGTTTTTCTAGGGTATATTAAAATTAATTATGCAATTATAATTTCTGTAATTCTTAATATACAATCTTGTGATTCTTATTGTATGTAGCCTTATTTTTATTACATAATATTAAGATTTTTATTATGAGTAACAAAATTCTTATTATTCATACCCATGTTCTTACTATACAATCCTGTGTTCTTTCTATACAATCCTGTGATTTTTCTATACAATCCTGTGAATGTTATTGTATGTAACCTTATTCTTATTACATAAAATTATGATTCTTATTATACGTAACGAAATTCTTATTATACATAACGAATAAAAATTTTTTTCAACATGGATTTAATTATGTTTGGCTTTCATCTGCATGAAGTTAATTCTATAAATTCATGTTTTATCAGTTTTGACAATTTCAATTTTATATAACTCTGAAATTTAATTTTGTTTATTACATTGTTATAGATGACACTTTTGTTTCTTATTGTAAAGCTAAAAAGACATTTAAATTTAAAAATATACTAATTGGCAATTTAGTAAATTTATAAAAATTAGTTTTAGAATGCAAAAAAAAGAAGAAAAAGTCTTAAATCTTGCATTAAATCAATTGATTTTCTAATCTTGCAACTGACAATAATATGCATTTAAACATAGAAACTTGAGCAAGTTACGTAATTTTAACCAATCCTCTAGCTTATATGAAATAAAATTTAGTGATATTGGAGTTAGTATCTTGGTAATTATTTTTGGAATGTATCGAAATATTTTAAAACTTTTATTACATAGTGTGATTTTCTAATCTTACAACTGAGAAACCCAAGTGTTTAAACGACAAGTGTAAAACTTGAATAAGTTACGTAATTTTAATCATAGCTTATATGAAATAAAAAGTGAAGTGATATTTGAGTTAGTATCTTAGTAATTATCTTAAGAATCCATAGAAAAACATTTTAAAACTTATATTACGCATAGTGATTTTCTAATCCTACTACTGACAATAGCATGTGTTTAAACATAGAAACTTGCGCGAGTTTTTCAGTTACATAATTTTGACTAATCCTCTAGCTTATTTGAAATAAACGCGAGGTGATATTGGAATTAGGCTTTTAGCACTGTTGTTAAGATAGATACGATGATAGAGCATTGGGGAAAAAATAATTTTACAGTTTGTTACATTGTATAGTTTATAAACCTCTTTGGTTGACCAAATAGGTTTATTAAATATGGTTGCCAGAACAACTATTTATACAGCTAGAATTACTCTTAAAGTAGGGTTAAAATATGATAACAGAAGAAAATTCATTCTCATTGTTTAAAATAAAACAAAGCATGATCGATAATTTTAATTATTACAATCCAATTTTTGAACGAATTCATTTAAATAGACATAACTTTATGTTACAATATAAAATTATTTTAAAATTGCCTATATTAGAGAAATTTGTAGAAAAAATTCTTATTTTTATTCAAAACTTTAACCATCAAATTTGGCATTCATTTGTATAAACATGCTTAAAAGGTTGAATCTTGAAATATTGCTCAATAATAAACAGTATAAAATCTAGCCAAAAATTAAAATATATACATTTCCGACTTAAAAATATCCAATTAAAATTTAAAAACAAAACAATTGCAACTGATATAGTTTTGGAATCATCAAAATGGCATTATACGGGAATAATTAAATTTAAAGTTGCAATTTTAATTAATTATTCCATTTTTTTCTTAGGCTTAAATATATATCCCCTTTCAGTTAATAAAAACCTTGAGATTTTATACCTTTCGTCTTTATTAAACATATTTCTTCATGGCAGTATTAAAAGTTAATAAAAGCCAATCACCTCGATTTATTATCCAGCGCCATAAACACGTATTACGAATTACAAAAACAAAATAATAAAATTTATTGAAAATTTTTAATACTCACTGATAAGATAGTGACAAGTGTTAAATTAAACTTAAAAGATAATAAGGAAAACATTTCTGTGCGGAAAAAAATTGATAGCACTTGCAAAATAACCTTAATTTGTTCTTAAATCACGGCTTTGCTATTTCAGCGACAACAGATTTCGTTAAGTTTACATACTATCTAGCCATTTTTTTTCGAACGTCATAATCTTTCAACTTTGGCATTTTTAATTAAAGAGCAAAGGAAAAAGTTAATGAAATAAATGAAGTGGTTGTAATTTGTGACATTTAATTCAACGGAAGCGTCGAGTCTGTTTTATTTTATATCTTTCCTTTTTTTGTAATGGTGTTTTTGATGAGTTTGTTTTTAATTAAATCTCTATGGTTTTAATTGCGTTAACGCATGTTTCACTCTGTTGAAAGTTATAAATTTGGATTTGCAGTCTTCATTTTTTTTTTATTTAATAATATTTTTAAATGAGACACAATATTGAATTTTATTGCCGAACGCTCCATCCATGTAGTAGATGTGAGACAGAAATATTTACGGACGTATTCAATAAAGTTTTGAACCTAGCTCAGAAGACCACAGAACAGGGTAACTTGTCCTTGACTTTTTGCACGGAATTTGAGTTGTATTTGTGTTTCATGGATAGATAGATAGCTAGACAAATAAAGAGATTGTAAATTGTAGTAATTTAATCTACAACTGATTAATTAATGCTCGTTTTTGTTAATTTGGCTTAGTAAGAGCATATATTTCTCAAAATATACATAACAATATTTTACAAAATCTGCATTAGTTAGCCTGAGAAATGAAGTATGTTCTGAGAATAAATAATATGTAATAAAGTACGGTAAAAAATCTGAATATGGTAAAGTTTACCGTGTTTCTGGCTCGATTGGAAAACTGAAATTTCGGTAGTTTTTACCGAAATGCCTTTATAATGATTGTGGTAAAATAAAAAATACAACATGGTTTTATAATAAGCAATAAAATTTAGTAAATGTTGTGGTATTTTTAATTATGATGATGGTTAATGCATGGCATGGAAATCATTTATTCGGTTACTTTTACAGGGTGCGTAGCGTTTTTAAAAAGTGCTTAAAGGTGCTTATTTTCGATTTTCGTTTCTTAAAAGCCCTTAACGGTGCTTTTTTCATTAGGTGTTTTTAAAAAGTGCTTAATTTTCCTGTTTTCAAAATGAGATTTTTCCTTTACAATGTTGGTTTTCGCTACGATTTATGCAAAAAGACACAGTTCATATTGTTCTATTCAACGTTTTCACAATTAATTCAAACCCAATCAATCTATTTCGGCGTATTGTCAATCCGTAGCGTATGAAAACGCTATTCCTTTTACATGATTCAAAATTTCCTGATTTTTGACAATTGTCAAAAACAATGCCAAAAGTTTTTTTTCCGGGTTAAAACAAGATAAAACCGTCAAAAATTGTCAAAAACTTTCCAACCTTGCCTAATTATGATATTTTTTTAAAGTGCTTAAAAATATTTTTTGAGTGCTTGAAAAGTGCTTAAAAGATGCTTATTTTTTGTTGAACAATTTGGCTACGCACCCTGTTTTACCTCTTAGTTTTGTATTTTTTAAATAAATGTGTGGTAATAGGAGCTATAATTTTGAAAACTAGAATTACCGATAAACTGTTACCACATGAGTGAAAAAATTACGAAATGAATGTTTTAAATATCGTATACTTTGTTTTTAGTAACCAGAATTATTGTTTATTTCTTTATTTTTATCAGAAAATTTATTATTATACAGTACGGTAATTTTACCATAATTTTTTTCTCCGTAAAAATAGTTTGCTAGAAAGTTTATGAATTAATTATAAATTGATAAACCAATTTTCGGCATCTTTTAGTGTTACCCCCCTTCTTTATGTTGTGCTCCTTAAATATAGTGCTTTCTAAATCATTACATTTTATATTAAAAATAATGTTATATAGCAATATTTTTCTTTCATTACAGGTTTATCGCCGCTGGACCCTGCCTCCTGCAATTTACACCTAGGCCATTTAGATGGTACTGGTAATTCTCAATCTTCACCCCCACTATCATCTGGTGGTGGAGGGAGTCAGAGGACAAAGCGCATGCGCACATCTTTTAAACATCATCAATTAAGAACTATGAAATCCTATTTTGCCATCAATCAGAATCCAGATGCAAAAGATTTAAAACAATTAGCCCAGAAAACAGGTCTTTCCAAAAGAGTGCTTCAGGTAACTAATACATCTTAACTCCACTACCGTAAACCAGGGTAACGTTGCCAAATTTTTTTTTTCTTCCAATACCCTGATACTTGTTTGGAAGAGACAATCGTTCCCCTTACTGTTTTTCAAAAACAATATTTTTACTTGAATACGATGTCATCTATTTTATTATTTGTTTCAAGAAAAAAAAATCTAATTTTTAAAAATCATTAAAGTTATCTAGTTTACAGTTATTCCTATCAAATTTACTGATTTTTTTTAATATCCTTCTTTTCTCCTTCCTGATATGTTCTTGGATAAGACAATTGTGTTTCGAAATAGCAATAACAATATTAGTTTTAAAATACAGTAGAGAACCGATTATCCGGAACGATCGGGACTATCGCTATTCCGGATAACTGATTTTTCCGGTTTTCTGAATAGCTACAAAAAGCCGTTTTTTTAGTGTTAAACCCAACTAAAAAAAAAAAAAAAATATTTGGAAATAATCTTAAAAATAAGAAAAAACGATGAGGTAATACACTAATGACTATTTCTGAAATGATGGTAAGGTAAACATCTTTTAAAAAAGAAAGAAAAATCATATAATCTTATGAGGAAAAAAAAATTTTTTTTTAAAAATTGCGGGAAAATGTATCGAATTTCGTTCCGGTTTTTTGGTTTTCCGGTTTTCTGATTTCCGGATAACGGGTTCTGTACTGTAGAAGAAACAATTGCATTTTTTGTTTGTGTCAGCGAGTTAAAAAAAATCAAATTTCTTAAAAATGGCAAAGATACGCTGATTAGCTGTTACTTAAAATATTTTCACCAGTTTTAAAAATATGGTTTTACCGATTTGCCATTTTGATATGTTTTTGCATTATTTGCCCCAGGGAAGCAAAAATCACAATTTTAAAAGCCGGCAAATTGGCTCTAGCTAATAATTAGTTACTCAAAACAACTTTGTCCCCTTTTCCTTAATATAAGTATTAGCTTTTTGATGTGTTGTTCTAAGATGAGATAATTGTCTCTTCTATTGCTTCTTAAGAAGAAAAATATTTTTTTATGTCTTTCACAAAAAAAGCTGAAAGTTAAAAGTGAATTTTTATTAAATTGAATTGAAAGAAAGATTAATAAAAAATTCCAACGATTTTTCTGAAAAATGGAAATTTATATAATGTATTTCTACACATATTTATGTTTGAAAATTTTGAAAGATTTACTTCTATAGTTTACACTGTAGAAAACTAATTCGTATGAGACTGAAAAAATTCAATCACGCGAATAATAAAGATATTTAAACAGTATATATATAATACTAACTCACCTTTCAAAACCATAGTTTCAGAGTGGTATTAGTTTTTCAGAAGAAAAAAATCAATTAAAATTCCAGAAAAAATATTTCTATTCTAATTTGGTGATGACGTTATATTTTGGTTGTTTTACTAGACACTACAGAATAAAAGAAATATCCAAAAACTAGTGTAAATGAAAAGTACCTTTATAATTTTCTTCGTTCTCTCAATTTTTGATGAACGACTTTTCATTTAAAAGAGAATAATTTTTGTTGTTTGCCTAAAAATTGCAAACCTGCACCAGAAAAAATAACAATAAAATATTTTTTTGTTTTTTTTTAAATTTTTATATTTCATCCTATCCGTAATCTTGTAATTTTGCCAACCGTTTCTCGATTCTCATAGCAATAAATAAATAAATAAAAACACCACCACGACATATGGCATACGAATTTACTTCATTACATTTGAAAAGAAAAAACTTCAAAAGTTACAGTTTTAAGAAAAATAATTCTCCCGTTCAAAAGTTGACTAATTTTACCTGTAACTTCTAACCTCAGTTCGTCATAAATTCATCAGCAAAGGCATTTTTTTCTTCTTTTTTTGCGAAATGAAATTTTTTTTAAAAAAGAACAGAATTCGTTCTTGGGGTACATATATATTTCCAAGTTTTAAGTAGCTTTTAAAAAAAATTAAGTGGTCTTAGGATGGTGAATTTACGTAAACAAGGAACTTCAGAAAATGCAACTTAAGAATATATGTGTGTTTTCTCAAGTGGCTATTTGCATCGTTGTTTGCGGAAAGTTTATTTCAGTTTCTTACTTCTACGTTCGGTTTCTACTTTTAAATTGTCTGTTTTGTTAGTCGTTATTTGCGTTTATTGCTAACTCGTTCATAATTTGTGTCAAGAAAACGTACATGCGTCGTAGAAATAAAAATTAGTCATTTTCATTTAATAAATGGTAATTATTTTTTCAGAAACAAAAAGCAATGCTTAAGCACTGCATTGAATAGAAAATTAATCATTTTTCATCACTTAACACAAATTATTATATTTTTAATAAATGCTGTTTTGATTAGGATTTGGGCGAATTTATAAACATTCTTAAAATGCAACAAGCATGTGACGCCAAATTCATAACAATCATAAAATGAAAATTAGCAAGTAGAAACATCAACTTTTTATTCCCTAATGTTATTAAGTCTACACAGAAATATCATTAAAGATTCTACAATAATTTATTTTTATAAACATGAAGGCATAATAGTGGTGTAGATTAATTAATTTAAATATATGTGTATAATATTTCAAGTAATTTTCATTGGTGTAGTGATATTTAAATTGTTTGATTACTGTTGAATCATAGTACAGACGAGTGACTGTAGTATGTTATCAGCATAAACTATGATGTCTGAAACAGGATTACGTAATAACTGCCATGGAAATATATGGTTTAGTCACCATTGTATGATAAGTAAATAATCCCAAGAAACTGAAGCAGTAATATAATACTTGATTAAAAACTTCATTTGTTTCAATATACAAATTTAAAATAACAGTCAACATGTTTCAAAAGCACAAAAACAGGTGCCTATTTTCAGGACTTGTCAAGCGTAAATGAGAAGAAGCAAAAGTGATTTAAAGTATAAAACGTAAAGTTGGGAACCGAGGATGGAAAAATAAAAATGAGAAGGAAAATTTTTTAAAAAAAAAAATAAAAAAAAGAGAGAGAAAAATAAAAGATTGAGAGGAAAAGTTTTTCTTTTTTTCTCTCTCTCTCTCTCTCTCTCTCGGCTACCGTGTTTTTTTTTTTTTTTTTTTTTTTTTTTTTTTTTTTTTTTTTTTTTTTTTGTTTTTTTTTTCAGTTTTGTTTCTCACAATTATTTTTTCGTTAATAATTTTACGGTTTGTACTTCAAATCACTTTTGTCTCTTCTCATTCACGTCTGGCAAGTCTTGAATATGAGCGCCTGTTTTCGAGCTCTTGAAACATGTCAACTGTTATTTCTAATTTGTATATTTTTAAAGCGACTACAGTCTTTAATCAAATTGCGATTACAGCAAATTTTCTTGGCATTTTACATGGTACAAAATAACGACACTTTGTGAAATAGCTTAAATGCTTTTGTCCTCTTTGTTTTACTATCTATATATTTAATATTCTGTCTATTTTGTTTCATATCCTAATAATCCTAATTCTCCTTAATAACATAATCCTAATTTTTCTTCATCTTTTGTTTGTGTGTCAGACATAATTTTTTTAACCATCCAATTTTATTACATTGAATTAGAGATATCGTAAGTTATTCCTAATTATAATGGTAAAGATTATTACCGCATAAATAGCATATATGATATCATTTTATGTTAATTAGGTTCGATTTCAACATTAGAGGTGACAGTTTTAACTTAGGTGGGAACAGCACACCCTTACACTTTAGGTTAATTATTTTGTTAATCCGGTTTAATTAGCTAATAAATGTAAAATTTTATCAATATAATCTAATTTAAATCAGATTTTTTTTAATAGCCAGGCATCCCCTTATGTTTATATAGAAACTATTTTTATAAATCAATATTATACATAATTTCTTTCAACAATTTTTCAATCCGAATAAAACTTTTACACCAGCCGGTAATTTCTAACAAAATGAAGAAGAAAAATTCATGCTAACTTTACAAATCAACATTTGACGTTCTATTGAAAGAACATCTTAATCTTGAGGATTAATCTTGCCTCACCAAATCCTGGGAACAGTTGGCATGAATTTATGATATCATATTTTCTTCTATAACAAGCCACAAAACCCAGTGTGAAAACACTTGAGGATATTTAGCGCCAAGATACATGAAGTATTCTGAAATATACGATCGGATATCTAAGAAGAACAGAAAAGAAAAAGGAACGTTATATTCCGCCATAACTCTCGAAACGGAGGGAGCCATTTGGATTTCGTCCAAGTTATGTCTTCCGTTTCTTCGAAGACACCCTCTTGGTTCTTCCGAAGATTTGCGACCCGAAGAGAAGAGCTGCTGAATTTCATACGTCATTTTTACCATGTAGTAAATCTCGCCAACTGAGCCATGCATCCTGCCGAAGAGCACTCACAAAATAATCATCTTTTTCAAAAGTTGTATAATTTTTTTTAAAAAGATGTTACTCGATGCAACAGACTTTGTTGCTCGAAAGAGTAGGGTTGATAAAATAACAGGAAGGAAATTTTTGTTCTGAAGAATTTTCTATTCATGCGAAGCGAATTAGTAACCGAATTTTTAAAGTGAAGTTTTATCTTTATTTAGGACATATTTAAACAATTATCTAGTTTTAGGAAAGATGAAAACGTTGTGATTTAATATATTCTTTCTTATAAAATAATTAATTTTTAATGCCAGTCTTTAAGCAACTTAAGTCACAATGGAATATTTTTCTTATCGATATTACGTTCTTTTTTCTTTCTTTCTTTTTTTTATTTTTTGTTTGTTTGTTAGTTTGCACTCGTTGTTATTCTACTATAATTATTCATTTGTGATAATAAATTATCATTTTTTTCTTGTACTACGTAACTACGTAATTTAACAAATTCTTAAAAAAATATTGTTCTTAATAATCTACGATGCAAAGTTAAATACATATTATCGCGCGGCTATATTTCAATTATTCTTTTTCTAATTTTTTTTTTATTTTTTTTAATTTTTAATATTGCAATTTGTGTTAAAATCATTGCAAATGAAGAAAAAATTCAAATTGTTCAATAACTGAAAGGTCGTAAATGATCTACACATTTTTATCATTTATGTTCAGAATTTGCGCTTAATTAATGATCTGAATCAAAATATCGGAGGCGCAATGTGAGTTTTCTGAATTTATTAATTTACAACAATTGAACTGAAACTACTAGAAAATTTTCATATATGATGGAGTAACATTTGAAAATGCAGTATTACAGTTCATTCCATTACTTAATCACGAAAGAACACAACACAGAGTGTTATCCCTTGTGATAGTTAAGCCGTCTTCTGTTATCCCATCTGTTTTATCCTATCTGTATTATGTCTGTTCCATTTTATTCTATCTGTATTATATATGTTCTAACCTATCTGTATTACATCTGTTCTATCCTATCTGTATTACATCTTATCTAACTTATCTGTATTATATCTACTCTAACTCTTCCATCCTATCTGTATAATATCTGTTCCATCCTATCTGTATTATATCTGTTCTATTTGTAAATATATTTTCTTTCCTATTTGTGTTATATCTGAGGAAACGTAGAACTATCCCTGTTATTATCCTCTTATTAGTACTTGTGTCTAATTTGTTATCGTTTTCATGTTCTGATTAGTTTTGTTTTTATTTTAGGTATGGTTCCAAAACGCTAGGGCGAAATGGAGACGAAACAACAACAAACAACCAGATTCTGTTTCTGGTATGATTACCAGCGAACAGCCGTCCACCCCTCAGTTGCTCCAGGGCGGCCACATGGGGGGAGGGATCTGTAGCCCCGGAGCTACCAGTTCCTATTCCGAGCCCAGTCCAGTGCATTCCTGTGGTGGTGTCGCTTCAGATGGCTCCCTGTCCACCCACGTGGGGCCTGGAGCATCCATGGACTTTGACAGTAGTGATCCTATGACCCCACTGGTCAGTCACCAAGGACTTAATCCAGGATCTGTCCATAATGGAGATAATGTCTCTTTCCATGTCACATCCTTCCATGAACTGTTCTGATAGAACAATTTCAACAAAAAACTCTCATGAATATTCCTAAAGTCGATTATGCCCATGCATTTTTTTAAAAGATCCATCAGCAACAGCTTGAACTCTTTCAATTGCACGTATAAGTTTGGAATTAAACAAAATAGTAATTTTTTTGGTTAATGTATTAATATTACCATCTTAATATTATATATTGCATTGCATAAACAATATTATGTGTCTATTATATTATTAACACTTCGCTTACGGCGCTTAGTATGATGAAGCCCGTCATTCTGGTCCACCTGTGTTACCAGCCGTAAGCAAATGGTTAATATTATTTTGAAATTTAAACTTATTCAAGGGTCTCAGGTAAACGTTTCAGAATTTCTAGGTGGGGTTGAGGGTATCCTGAAGACTCGAAGTATCAAGCAATGCTGGGTCGGTAATACTTTCCTGCAGCGGTGATGTGCATAAGAATAAAGGAAAAATCACCGTACTTGAATATTTGTTTTAATAATAAATGTGCAAACGCGAAAGGAATACGGACCAAAGAAAGTGTTCGAAGTTGCAATTCAGATCTCATATCTACGGAACATGGAATTCCTGAATATTCTGTGTCCTTGTGCGAAATGACGATTCAGTGAAGGAACGATCGAAATTTTCTTGCAACATCATCTGCCTTTTTAGGAAAGCCTTTCTGACCTTGCATCTCTGCGATTTTAAGTTGATAAGATGCACCTTGCCTCTCTTAGAAATTCTGAAACATTTAGCTGAGACACGTTGCATAATAATATAGTTTCTTTTTTTTTTCAAATATGTTTTTATATCAACAAGATATACAACAAGGAAGCCATATTTTGCTGTTAAAATAAACAGTTTGTTTTCTAACATCGTTCTTGTTGAGTAAGGTGCTCTTCAATTACCCCTTTAATATTTACTTTTAGAATCCGTGCAAAATATTAGATGACAAATTTCGTCCATTAGAAGACATACATTAATATTCTCGCTTGTCTCAATGATGAGATGGTTACATTTTTATAACGTTTCTTTTTTTCTTCCTCAAATATTAGTTTCTGACCTCATTTGTGCCTGTAATTTTTACTTTATTTTTGAAAAAGTTTCATGATATTATTATACATTAACAGTTGCGAAAACGAAACACCCAGTACATTTTTGATTCAACGCCGATAACAAGTTAATTACTTTTTAAATGGAAGAACAGCAAGGATAGCAAAACTCATATTTTTTAAACTACAAATAAATCTACTAGCTCAAAATCAATATTATCTAATAGAAAACTTTCATTGAAACTTGACACTTATTAATAATTGTTGAAGAAATCTCGATTTTTAAAATTAATTATTAAAATCGTTTATCGGTTTCATAAAATAAGTATGAATTAAATGTTTCAAAACTCTCCTTTTCTCATAATAATTATTTGAGACACCATATTGCAGATTTAATTATTTTATTTATTTTATTTAATAATAAGAATTATTGTTAAAAGTGAAGTGTGGAGAATAACCATTATCATCACATTATTTTTTGTTCGAATTTCCTTATAATTCATTTAAACTTTATATATTGAAATTTAATGGGAATATCTAATTTATCTTGTTTCCGGGAGAAAAAAATCTTTTTAAAAAAGTTTATTGTTGAAGCTTAACTCTAAACCAAACGTGTTTTTTTGGTTATGTAAACCATTTTCACTCGATTAACTTTCTTAACTAAGATAACAATTTAAATGGTTTTGATAAAGCTTAAAATTTACTTTGAGTTGTGTAAATTGAGACGTTCAATTCGAATATCAACTTAGTTAATGTTTAGAATTTTTAAAGAAAATATCTCTAATGTAGACACAACAATGTTTGTGCTTTTAAATCTTTATTTGTAGAATCGTGAATTTTTTTATAGCATGGTTTTAATAGTCAATTTTAACTAAATTTTGACTTGTTAGTATAATACAAAGAAAAAGTAAATGTTAGTTTTAAAAAAATCTCTGGCAGTCATCTTCTAAATTGTACAATGACTTAATTTTTTTAAATAGCTATAAGGAAGTTGTTTATTTATATATTTTTTTAGCTTATAATTCAGTATCTGAATCTACTTCTTTTTGATACTTAGTAAGAATTGTATAAAAACAATTAAAAAATGATAAAAATATTTAAATTATTAAAATTATTTAAATCATTAAAATCATTCAGAGAAGTTGAGAAAAAGAATTTGCGAGCAAAGAATACTGAAAAAGACTAGTTATGAGAAAGAAAAAGGCAGAGATTTGATTTGCTTATTATCTAAATAAAATTTTTTATTTGTAGTCTAACTCAATGTCTTATGAAAAAATATTAGTGCAGCAATTCTTAAAAATGATATTTTATTGTTTATAATCATGAAAATCGTAGCGTAAAATAAATCTCATAAGCTATTTTACATTTATAACAACTTTTAACTTATTATAATAAGATAAGCTTTATTACAGTATTCCAGTTATTGAAATAAATTTGAAGATTTAAAATATTTGTTGGAATATTGTATAATATTTTAAGAAATAATTTTTAAATTCCTCTTAAAACAAATTAATTTATCTTATAAATTCTTTTATTCTTTCATTTTCGTTCCATTTTAATCAAATTCCTACTGTAGAACTAACAACGTTATTCACATCAAATTTGAGATTTTCATTTTGAAAGATTATATTTCTTTCAAATCATTAAATTTCTTTTATTTTATGCGTTCGTTAATCTTATTTCATTGCTTAAATAAATGCGATTTTAAAACAAATTGTAACGAGGATTAAACATATAAATTTTATTACTTATTACAAACTCAAATATAAGAGCTCTTTTTTAAAATCTTATTTATATTTTATCAGAATCTTTTAAATTTATTTTTGAATAAATCGACTCCATGTTTATTAAATAATCTTAATCAATATTAAATAAAATTCAGAAATATTAGTTTGCATAATTCAATTTATGTGAATGCGTTAATCCTAATTAGATTAAGTATTTGTTGAGTTAATTTGTTCATTCGGAAGACCTAAAGCTGCTTATTTTGATCTATTCTTAACAAGTTTTTTTTAACCCATTATCACGAAAAATCGCGTGGAATTTAAACCATTTTTATGCAGCTGTCAAGTATCAATGGGAAGTAAAGTCAACACACGTGTCAGAAATGTATTTTTTGAAACTTCTTCGTTCATATGTTGAAATTTACTTGAAAGAACCTAAATTATATATATTTTTAAAATATTTTTATTTTAATTTTACAGACAGTTATTCCTACATCTCTTTTAAATTAAAACTGCAAACATTTCCTTTTGTTTTGCAATATTACTGCAAACATTACTTTTTGCATTTGATATTATTTTCTAAATCACATGAAAATTCTCTGTGAGATTTTAGGAAAATTTCAGTATTTTAAGAAGATCTTTATTTATAATGGATTGCTGATTATTTATTTCACTCCTGCAGCTAGAGCTGTAAATTTATGAATTTTTTAAGAATTTATTAATTTTTAAAATTTTTTAAACCAAGTTTTTCTAAAGACAAAGAATAATGCTTAAAGGTCTATATATAAAGTATTATACCAACATTATTAATTATCAAAAAAAAGAAAATAAATAATTTAAATGTTGAAGTACCTTATGAAAAGAATTCGTATGAATGAAAAATTCTCTCTTTGTATCCAAAATTATATATTTGTCAAGAATTAATAATAATAAACCCCCAAAAAACTAGTGTGTTTTGACTATGTTAGTGCTGTGCTCAGTTTCTAAATCATTCTTTATAAAGCCACATTGTTAATTCTTTGAATTATACAAATATTTTATTATTTGGGAATAAATGGTAATTCTGTCCAAAAATAGCTTTAAGTTACGCAAACTATTTTTTTTTACATCAAGATAGATCAAATATTTAATTGTATAGCATGCTTTTTCCCTTTCTTTCAAATATCATGTCTTTTGAAACTGTTTCTCCAGTATTTTTTTTTTCTTAGCTCACATTCGTTTAATGGCACTCATACGTGACATTTGTGTAAGGTACTAAAAGCAAAATAAAAACTAAACAAGTTGATGGAGTCTTCTAAATAAGTGTGTTTGGGCAAAGCGACACAATTCATAAATGTAAATACCAGTTCAATAACTAATAAAAAAAGTTTGGTTTTTGCGGTAATGCTCTTCTTTTCGAAGAGAATTTTCGATTATTTGTATAGAACATCTGACGCTACACTTTCATCGACAATGCATATCTGTTTTTGTGTATATAATTTTTTTCTCTTGTTGTGTTGCTGATCACATTGCATTCATACATATTTTATATAGAAATAAATACTCACTGATACGCATTCTGGTGAATTGCCGGTTGTAATAAATTCATGGTTACACAGTAAACGATGAAATGCATCGTTTTTGTTTATTGTACAGTTTTATTGGGCATAAATAAAATTTCATTGTATTTTCATGTAATTGATGCCTCTGCTTTTTCATTGCTTTAAGAAACTACACCTTGTTTAATGTTAAGTATTCCTGAAATACATAAAGAAAATGACGAATTACAGAGAAGTTGAATTACGCGTAATTTTGACTATAAAAGGAGAAAAAATACTCTTACATTGAGAAAAAGAGTATGGTCAAAACTACTAGAATATGGTTACCGTGTTTCTTGCTTTGTGCGAACACCAAAAAAAAAAAAAAAAAAGCCGAATCACTTTGGTAATGACTTTTTGGTAAAATTTAAAAAAAAATATGGTTTTTATTACCATGCTCTTTGGTAGTAAATGCTCTAAAATTAGGAAATTTTAAGCAAAAGGCGGTAATTTTTACAATGCTAGCTTGAAATGACTCAAAAATGTAGGGCCGAGGTAGCCCAGTGGTTAGAGAATTAGACTCCGGTCCGGAAGGGATGAGGTTCGATCCTCGACTCAGCTGAGATCCACCGAGTACATGCGAAATACGTGCTCGTAAAATCTGTGGAATTGAAAGCTCTGTGGTCAATCGCTGATCAGTACTGCGGGTACAGGGATCTGGAAAAAATTTCCTTCCTCTTCAGATCTATGTATAAATTGAGAAAAGGGCCTCACAAATTGTAATGGCATGCTTTCGAATATTCACAAGGGATGTTTCTCAGACCGTCGCCAACAGCCCAATCTGCAGCTCTAGTATGACGAGAACTACCTACCCGACACAAAATTTTTTAATTTTGATAACCTCTATTTTATTTAGCAAACGATTGTTAACTTAGTTTCTCGCCTGTTCTTTCTTTTTTTTTTCTTCTTTTTTTTAAAACTGCAAATGAACATCTACCACAGTAGTAAGCAGGGGTTTTGGTGCGGCGGAACTTATTTCTGCCCGCCTGGAANGGTCCATCGCAACCCTGGGTACTTCGATTTATTTATTTGTTGTAACGCACACACAGCACTAAGATATTAAACCCACAACCTCTATTCTTCAGAGAGCTTGGCAGAAGGACAACACCCCTCGGCAATGGAAACCCTAATAATAAATGACTGTTTTATTCAAACCTCAACACGCAGCATTGTTCTTCCGCTAACCACTCTGAAGCGTATATGTA